CTCTTTGTTGCATTCGGGAAGTTCCGATGCAGCGCGATTACTCGATCGAAAGCTTTGCACATCTGGTGGCATTTTTTTTTACTATTGATGTAATACTGCTGTGTACTTCCCTGGTTCGCTACTCGGAGGCGTGTATGGCAAGCCCTTCTCTTTCTTCCTCTCTCTGCATCTGTGTGTTTCTATCAGTTTGTCCAATAATTGAAACTGAAAACTGCTGAAATTAGAAAGCTGAAATTTAAAAAACATGGTAAAAACTCACAGACTTTAAGTCCGCTTTTAGCCCTCTTTATCTGTGTGCCTTTCTTCTTACACCCCAGAAATTGGCTCTCGTTATACAGTTCGGGAATCAACGAAACTAGGAGATCGGAACTTCATTAATTTAATTTACCGCATAATCTATAGTGCAGGCTCTGAAATTATCTGTCACACGTCAGTGCGTTTCAGACTGATGTCGCAATTTTAATAAAAATGCGTAAACTATGGATCAGAAATTTTGGGTTTATTTTGGAGCACAATATAAGGTGTATGACATAAAAAAACCTTTCCAACGCCGATGTCTCCTAATTTGTATTTTTAAATTAGTGTATTCCCGGAGCAGTGTAAGACATGCCAGTTAGAATTTGTTTCAGTCTGTAGCTGGTCAAAAGATCATGGTTGCCTTGCGTAAGTTTGAGTACTTGTCCGCGGTGACCAACTGTAACAATATGCGATTACGTTGAACCCGCGATGTGCTGCACTGTTTGCTTTGTTTTTGTGGCTGACATTTCCCCCTTAATGGACACTGTTGCAAAGGGAGTTTTTTTTTTTCCCGAAGGATATGGACGGGAAAGGATCCAAGCCTCTTATCTTCACTTTTACCGAATCCTTTGAATTGTGACGGCGAGCATCATAAAAGGCAAAAGGAAATTTTTTTCCTCTGTTATTCGCAAAATAGTCAAAGACAGCGGAAACAAGCCATTGATGAACTTCCAGGTCGAGATTTGCAACATGTGCCCCTGATTGTTGCCAATAGTTTCGATGAGTCGACGTTGTCTGCGATGGCAAAACAGGCGAAGGTCATCATCAACGTTGTGGGACCTGTAAGTGTTGTTGAGCTTACTAAATAGTTCTTTTCGTGCGACTTTGGCCAGCGGTCGCCAGTTGTTGGCTTTTTACCTTGTTTTCATATTTCGGTTCTTTTTAGTTATAACTATAATAACGCATTAGAACTGGAACTTCTCTGCCTGTTTAGCTCTAGGATCAAACATGAGTTT